ATTTTGACCGTGCATTTCGAGCATTAATTACATGGACATACCAATCGGGTTTGTTAGCAAAACATTCAAACCGGAAATATAGGTTGAATGTGTGACATAATGATGCATTCTTGCATTAACGACATTGTATATAGTATATGTACTATACCGGTGTCGAGAATTGACATTTTTGGTATTCATTTACCATGTACATATGTTTGTATGTTTTAGAATGTTTATTTTAACAGACTCAACGATGTGCTGAATTTTCGTATCTTTTTGACCAACAACTGCAGACCTAAAATGAATAATGCAGAAATAAAACATTTTGCATAGGTACCTATTTATGTCGAATGTGTTGGAAAATATCGCGACGGATTCGTCCTCAATGTGCCACTATATTAAATGGTACCTAATAGGTAGATACAATCTATCTATATATGTAATAAATAAGTCCGAAAAAATTGGGGGTCTTTGAGTATATTAACGGCCAGTCCTTTGGTACCTCGGTTCGGTTATCTAATAAATTAGAACATTTTCGAAGGAAAGAAATAAGGATTATTTTTGCATGAAATAAAAAGAAAACACGAATACTTATTATTTGTACAGCTTACACTGCCGATGTTGAATGATAAGCTTCTTAAATTAAGTTCAATGTTCAATTGTTCTCAATTTGTGTGTCTCTGTGGGCAGCCATTTATGCAATTTAAAAATTAGTTGCTATAATGGCAATGATTTATGTCGCTATATGATTACTGGTTGCAGGAGCAGTTAAGTGTTGACAATTTCATAATGGACTCTCAATAAAATTGTAGTCGATTGTGACGCAGGCCAACCAACATCTGTTCTCGTCGTTTTAAATTTTAAAATATAAAATTTAAAGAGCTCTCAATTTGTGATTATTAAATTAAATGAGTTAAAAATGTCGTTCGAGTTACTGCATTGAGTTTGATGAAGTTGAAACAATGTTTTATTAAAAATGGTAAATACATAGTTACACTGATCCGGGTTTCAAAACGGACAATCAAAATTATCGGTGACTGCGATCCACAAGCCTGCCAAGATGGTTTTTCATAACTCTACGTTATAGAAAACCACCTTCAAGAAGAGAAGCTTTCGTTCAGCAGTATACATAGGTACATATAAATAAGTTCCAAATATAGATACATTACTGATTACAGGCATGGTTGTATTTTATCAATGGTGCTTATGTAATGAAAATATCTTATATTTACGTAACTGCACTGTAATAATAATTATGTACGAACATTTACCAGTAAGGTCAGCCACTTATTGTAAAGCCTGAGCAGTCAAAGTTCAAGCAATTCAGTTCAATTAAGAACTCATAATCACGTCGTCTACCTACTGGGTTAGGTAAGTATTATTACGATTATATTGCTAAGCAAGGCTAAGTAAATACGACCTTTTTCAACATAATTAAGAGTGATTTAATAAAACTCTTTATCAATTTGTTGTTCGTATCCACTTGTAGTAAAGTTTATGTAAAGCAAAATGTAGTAACGTTAAGCACTAGCTTTGCGTGATTATGGAACTATATAAGAGCGTTCGCTATAATCGTCACCCTTGGTGCCTACCAAATTTGACGACCGCCACGACGACGACCAAAACCTTTACTAGCTGATTCGGCAAACGTCGTACCACACATAAAAAAATCTCATTTTTTAAACCTTCTCTGATCTTCCACGAACACTTCAAGACCATAATTAGCCGAATCGGTTCTGTGGTTCTCAAGTTTTAGGGAGACTAAAGAACGGAAATTAATTTTTATTTATATAGATAGATATCAGAGAGCACTGCTGCGCGAGATCTGTCAAAATGTGTACGGCCTTAGTTGACTTTTATAACTATGACACCCAGAGGAAGGAGTAGCATGACAACACAGCTTTCTACTGGTCAATATTATAGTAAATATTTCTCGAATAGGTACACATATGTACATGATCTCAGTGATCCCACATAAGTATAACCGGTATCGATAGAAAACTATAATGTGGACCTACTTAATTATAATAAGCTTGATAATTCTCACTCGTAGCATGAAAAGTAGTATGTATCTAGGTTCAAACTAAGTTCGATGTTCAAGTGAAAGGAACCCACAGGTACTTACAGACTGCAAGTACTTTCAAGATCTTACTTTCACAGAGGCGCTTCATAAACTATAGTCTTAAACACCACTTTTACCCGATGATTGTGTACTAGAAAACTTACGAAATGAACTTTATTGTAGTAACCTCTTTTTTTCAAATTACATACTGGATACTTTAATCTGTTCATGTCGGTCAGATATGTATCCTACACGTACAGCTATGAGCCATGTTTCGACAAGAATGGGCCGGCTCGACAGAAGTGACACCACGGCCTCATAGAGATCCAGCGTGAAACAATCCTTGCGTTACGTTCGCGTCTGTGAGGCCCAATTCATCCCCTCCCCAACTCCTTTAATCCTTAACTCCTTAACCCCCAAAGACCGGCAACGCACTTGTATCTAACACCTCTGGTGTAGCGGGTGTCCATGGGCGGCGCCAATTGCTTACCATCACCTTACGCATCTAATCGTTGTAATAACAGAATAAATAAAGTTGGTAGCTAGAATAAACCACATTACACTAATATTACGAATGTGAAATTTCCTTTGTGATTGATTTATGGACAAATATGCAAACGTTTGTCCGTCAATCACGCTGAAACTACTTGAACGGATTCTGATGAAATTTGGTATACAGGTAGAGTATAGGCTGACTTAGGTGATAGGGTAGATTTTTTATTAAATGCTCCCATGGGCTAGAACAGGAAACATATTCTACGCGGACGAAGACGCGGGCAACAGCTAGTTTTTTTATAAAACAAAGAAGCTTATCTCTGTATTTTCCTCTTATTCTAGATCTAGATATACTTCTTGTGAAGTCCGTCGATGTAAGAACTTCAAATGAGTGTCAAAGCTTTGACCTTTGTGACAAACTTTGTACCGTACGAAGTAGTGCCAAGTTAGCCGGGAAGGAAGACTTCTTATCTACAAATTACTTACACGAATTAGATCGAAACACTGACACTTACAAAAGTGTTAAATGTCTGCGAAATTCAATACAGACTTCAATGCAGTTGATGTGTCTAACAGCACCTAACTATTCCTTCTTTAATTCCATTTCTATTTATTTCTTCTTTCACGGTCACGGTTTTCACAATTTTATTGAAATTGGATTTTTATTAGAACACTTGAATTATCACGCGGTAGGTAGATCAGATACGCAAGAAATTTCTATTTATGCAAACCCGTATTGAACAAGCATGGCGATTAATGCTCAAACCTTATCCGTTTGAGAAGAGGCTATGCTCACCAGTGGGCATTTATAGGCTGTTGATGATGATGATGAGACATTTCTATTCTACCTAGGTTTTAGTAGGTAAATAAGAACAACCCCTTGTACTATAATGCCTGAGTAGATATGTAATAACGTGTCAATTTATTGATGTATTCGACAAGTTTCCTATCGCCATCTCTTTTTCACACATCTGACAAAATGACAATGACCAAATTTGTATGGAGCGTGGTGCCTTTTCATTTTTTCGCGGCAGTTGATCGGGTGTGGATAAACTGATGCAGAATAACATTACAAATAAAAAAATGTATGGGGTCTTATATCATAAACACAGTCCGAACCGAGTTAAATCAGTTCAAAGATGTGAAAATAGTGCTATATAATTCCTGTGATTTTGTTGATGGTGACGGTACACAACGCATATTTCATTTACTTGTCAGAAATATTTTGTAATAAATATTTATAAACGATTTCAAGGAATATAATAAATATTATTGAGAACGTTTTTACTTTTTTTTAATTTTTTTTTTTTTTGTTATTAGGCCACGGAATCAGAACAGAGTGAACCATTAACTGACCACTGCTGAAAAAAAAAAAAACATTTCGTTTGATTGGCTAGCGTGTTCAATTTATATGTATACGGTTTATGGCCTATGACAGATTTTCATGATCAATTTCCTCTCAGTCAAAAACCCGCAAAATACTTTACTGAGCCCTATCATGAAATGCTATGTTTGTCAGCTGCGGCGTCGGTAGCGGATTGAGTAGTAACAGTCGTCAAAACACGAAAAAAACATTTTTCTGTCTACTTCTCCCGACTTACCTACTTCCGATTAGTGACTAATCTAACTACAGTTAATACTTTAATCTACATCTAGCTTAAGATTCTGTACAAAGACATCGTCATTCAGTCACAAAGTGATGCATTTCGAATGATCACATTATATAAAAAAATTATGCGCTCATCTGACGTATATTCCATCACTTAAAAAGTCGACGGTTTGCTTTCTTCAAAAGATTATGCTAACTATATAGTAGATGAGTCTCCCACCAGGAGTCAACGGCAAAAAAATACTTTATTAGATGTTTGGACGGCTACAACTACTCAACCCACCACTGGTACCACAGCTGACACTCATGAAGCTTCATGACACAACTCCTAGAAGCATCCCACAAGTTATCGACCAAGAGAAAATAGGTCATAAAAAGTAGCGACTGGCAATATGGATATATTGTGGTGTGATTTGGTGTTTCGTGCCCGGCGTACAGTGGCGCGCAATTTGAAGTTAGGAATTGTGACAAAAATATGAATAATTTGAATAAAAAAACGAAAGTAAAATGTTTGATTCCAGCTCCTTTTAACGCTCATAACTCAGTCCAGACTGAGATTTCCATATATGAGCCCATAGACAATTTCGTTTGTAATGACATTCTAGATAATATTTTCCATAAATCATCGACTGCCGCCAGAAAAAACAAAGGCACCAATTTTAGTCAATGCCCTTTCAAATCGGATTGGTGTTTTGCTATGAACAGTGTATTTATTTTTTATTTAAAAGCTTTATGCACCCAAATATGCACATGGACAGACTTACCTAATGCCGTAGTGTAGGTACTTATATTAATTTTTTATGATGTTTTTTTTATTACATTTGCTTATTTAAAGTGTTTTCCTTGTTTCAGGTACTTGCACATTAACGAGATCCACCAAATCGACCCGCAAACCTTTTCCAATTTGCCACATTTGGAGAGATTGTAAGTACTTAGAAAAACCAGCCAAGTGCACGTCTGTCTCCCGCACAATGGGATCTGTACAATTTTCTTTAAGAAACAACCCCCTGTTCATTATTTTAATATACTCACAAATCAAATTGATTTTAGATACTTACACAACAATCACATCAAGAGGATTCCAGCAGGATCATTCTCGGACATGCCTAAACTGCGCAAGCTACGTTTAGACAGTAATGCCCTTATATGTGACTGTTCGATGCTGTGGCTAGTGAAGATGATGTCCCAACATAACGATATGTACATCGACGCCACGTGTTATCAGCCTGCTCGAGTCACAGGAATGCCACTTTCTATAATGGAAGAACGGGACTTCGAATGCAGTAAGTATCCAAGCTTCTTTAGTGAACATTAGTTTCTGATTTTTAAGTCTCCAATGTTAATAAAACCATTTATTTTAGAAATTCCCGAAATCCAGAAGGACCCAGAGGACATTACAGTGAATTTCGGAGATGCAGCTATGTTCACTTGTGTCGTTACTGGCGACCCCACCCCTGAGATAGTTTGGCTACGAGACTCTAACGAAATTCCTATCGACGGGACCCGTTACGAAGTTATGGATAATGGAACTCTGATGCTCCACGACATTAGCGATGTTGACACTGGATATTTCGAATGCATGGCTAAAAATCCTGTCGGTGAAGTGCACTCTAAACCAGCTAAAATGACGGTTCAACGAAAACGAGATAGTGAGAATTTGGAGAACGGTAATAAGATTACTTAGGATATTGATTTTATTAGATTGAATGTAGTTCAAAGTAACTGTATTGTTGTTTCGTTTTAGCCGCTCCTGTATTTACCGTAAAACCACAAAAACAGTTTGCCAAGCTTGAGCAGGAGTCGATTAACTTTGACTGTGCCGCAAATGGACATCCAAAACCTCACGTTGCTTGGCGATTCAATGGCGAAAGGATTTTATTAAATGAACGTATTTCAATACGATCAAATGGATCTATTTTTATTGCTAACATCCAAGAGTCGGATGCAGGCTTGTACACGTGCTTGGTTGAAAACATTAATGGAAAAGTGAACGCATCTGCAGCGCTGGAAGTGATGGGTAAGTTTTGACACAATTTTGTTGATACTTGTTCTATAATTGATTTTGAAATTAAAATATTTTTCTTATTAGTTCAGGATATTTTTGCAAATCAACGTAAGCGTTTAGTTTTTCACTTGAATGTCTTTACAATATAACATACAAGGATTTATTTTTAAGTAAGACATATCAGTCAGTTCATCCTCTATGATACATATAGTATAAAAATGGCTCCAAACAAAATGGCTTTTAAACGTAGTCTTCGTGAGGCCTATTTAAAGGCGCTACAACGCTGAGTTTGTGCCTCCTTAATTTATATCTTTGTCAATTTATATTATATTATAATTATATATATGAAGTTATTTATGTATGCACATATTTTGTGTTTATTATATATTTTTATACAGTATGTTATACAGTATTTATTATTACTATTAGTTATTTATTTTGTTTTTTTTTTTTTTTGGATATTACACAGGCCCATTTTCGCTGAGCTTACATTTAACCCAAAGGTTGACTGGGAGAAAATGCCATATGGCATTAAGTCCGCCTTATGTACCTTATTTTGTGTGCATTAAAGTGTAAAATAAATAAATAAATAAATACATGTAGATGTTACATTATCCTGTTTGAAACTTACGTAATGTTATATTTTGTTGTAGTTCCGCCCACATTTATCCTGGAACCACATAACAAAACGGTAAGACTTGGAGACGACGTGGAATTTATATGTACTGCTAAAGGAGTACCGAAGCCACTTATCAACTGGTTTAGAAATACATTAGTTTTACCCTTATCTGAAAACATCATTTTGAGTGATAACAACCAAAATTTAACCATTCTGTCAGTCACTGAAGATGATGAAGGTATATACCACTGCAGAGCAGAAAACGCTGAAGGCTATGTTGAAGGATCAGCTTTCTTAACTATTGAGAATTATGAAATTATTCGCCCACGTATTGTATTGAAACCTGAGGACACTGACGCTTATCGAGAATCATCCGTTCAGTTACCTTGTGAAATTGAAAGTGAGCCTCCTGCCACAGTAGAGTGGAGAAAAGACGGTTCGTACTTAGATGATAGTCGAAAACATTCAATAACAATAATTGGAAGCTTAATCCTGCATAATTTGACAGTAAGAGATACTGGCAGATATGAGTGTTCAGTTTTCAACGAATACGGCCGCGATACCGCGTCAGCGTTCTTAACTGTTAAAGACCGTGTTATACCTGGCGACGAATATGTCAATATAGCACTGACTGAAGCCACAAGAGATGTTGACCTCGCTATAGAGCGAACCATGGATGAGTTATTTAACAACAATAACACTTCCAAAACAGATATTAGTCGATTATATCGAATTACGAGTTTCCCGAATGCACCAGCTAGAGAAGTAGCTCGCGCTGCTGAAATATATGAACGAACTTTAGATAAAGTCAGGGATTTTATTCAAACTGGCCATAAGGTAACTTCGACTGAACCGTTCTTATACCAAAACGTATTATCCAATCAACATCTTGAGGTAATTGCACGTCTATCTGGTTGTGTCGCTCATAGAGACAAAAACGATTGTTCTGATATGTGTTATCACAGCAAGTACCGTAGTTATGATGGAAGTTGTAACAATTTTGCTCATCCTACTTGGGGATCATCACTAAGCGGATTTAGACGAATTCTCTTCCCTATATATGAAAACGGATTTAGTCAACCGGTAGGATGGAACAAAGGCATTAAATATAATGGCTTCTCGCTACCAAGCGCTCGTCTGGTATCTACTTCTATAATAACTACCGAAGATATTTCTGAAGATCAACAGTTGACCCACATGGTCATGCAATGGGGCCAGTGGTTAGACCATGACTTAGACCATGCTTTGCCTTCAGTGAGTTCACAGACATGGGACGGCGTAGATTGTAAGAAGACCTGTGCTTATGCAGCACCATGTTTTCCAATAGACGTGCCTCCTAATGACCCTCGGGTCACCAACCGTCGTTGTATTGATTTTATCAGAACGAGTGCAGTATGTGGTTCCGGTATGACATCGGTTCTGTTCGGAACCCTGCAACCACGAGAGCAAATCAATCAACTGACGTCTTTTATAGATGCGTCACAAGTATATGGTTTTGAAAAATCTGTAGCAGAAGACCTAAGAGACTTAACGAATGAAAACGGATTATTGCGTGTAGGTGTGACTTTCCCAGGCAGAAAGCCTTTACTTCCCACCGTTGGTATTAATGGAATGGACTGTAGGCGGAATTTGGATGAAAGCAACCGCAATTGTTTTGTGGCTGGTGACATCAGAGCTAACGAACAAATTGGTTTAGCAGCAATGCATACCATTTGGATGCGTGAGCATAACCGAATCGCCATACAATTAAAAGTATTGAATCCATTTTGGGATGGTGACCGAGTTTATCAAGAAGCAAGAAAGATTGTAGGGGCACAGATACAAATCATTACTTACGAGCATTGGCTCCCAATTATTTTGGGCAAAGAAGGAATAAATCAACTAGGCCATTACAAAGAGTATGATCCTAACCTGAATCCGTCAGTGTCTAACGTGTTCGCGACTGCTGCTTTACGATTTGGACATTCTATGATAAATCCACTACTACACCGTTACGATGAAAACTTTGAACCAATCGCGGAAGGCCATCTTTTACTTCGTCACGCCTTTTTCTCTCCCTGGAGACTCGTAGACGAAGGTGGGGTAGATCCTTTATTGCGAGGCATGTTTACAACACCAGCTAAGCTAAAAACTCCTACACAAAATTTAAATTCCGAATTAACTGAAAAGTTATTTTATAGTGCCCACGCCGTTGCTCTTGATTTGGCAGCTATCAACATCCAGCGAAGCCGCGATCATGGTATTCCTCCATACACAAAATGGCGCCAATTCTGCAATATGTCAGAAGTAAATGATTTTGATGATTTGGCTGGAGAAATTAGTGACGAAACGGTACGTGAAAAGTTGAGGGAGCTCTATGGATCCGTGCATAACATTGACGTTTGGGTTGGTGGTATCCTTGAAAATCAAGTAGAAGGTGGTAAAGTAGGGCCCCTATTTAGATGTTTGCTTGTTGAGCAGTTCCAACGTCTTCGAGATGGAGATAGGTTCTGGTATGAAAACCCATCCGTTTTCAAACCCGATCAATTACGGCAATTAAAAGAAACAAGTCTGGCACGAATCCTCTGCGACAATGGTGACAACATTGATACAATTGGTGAAAACGTGTTTCTTCTTCCTGAGGTTCAAGACGGTATGGTTTCTTGCGAGGACTTGCCATCAATGGACTTACGCTACTGGGCTGACTGCGAAAGTTGTGGCGATAACGGAGGACTGGAACGATCAAAACGGCGAGCTCGCAGAGACACTGAAATGGAGGATGATATTCTAATTGATAAAGCGCGCATTGATGGCCTGGAAGATTCACAACATGATATCGAGAACACTATTGCAACGCTGAAAAAACGAATCGAGCACTTGGAAGAGACCTGCAAAGCGGAATAAATGGTTATTTGCATACATGCTGTTATTTTGGAAATGTTTTAAAATTTTTAGAAGCCTATTCTAAATACACCTATAATGTTTCTACTATCTTTTTACACAAAAGCTTTAAACCTATCATACGTGGTCCAACTAATTAAGATTAATTTAACTTTCTATTCCCCTATTAATTTAATTGCCTTCTCTTCAAGTTACTGATCATGACACCTTTGCTCTTAATTGTGATTAAGTTTGCGCTATCTATTTATTGTTCAGTAATTTCGACATGATTGATATAAGTATAAAAATGTTGGATGCCTACACAAACTAAGGTAGGTAACTAAATGCGATCTGTACCAAATGCCTGTTTTTACAAAATGTGTAGGTAGGTACTTAACCGTGTCCGCAAACAGCCAAAATCAGGACAAAAGTATTAGAAGTAAGGAACTGTTTAATTCATTACGTGTATTGTAAATGTTATTTTTATGATGTGTTTAATAATTTTCTATTTTTATATGTTATGATATTCTGTGTTTTTCGTTTTTTACGATGGGCAGCCGAGCTACATAGTACGCCTCTATTTTAATTCTTATTGAGTTTGGAGACGAAAAAATCATAACTGTTGTGCGTACTTTTTAATAACTGGATATTTGTGTAGCCCAGGATTTATAAAATTTGTTTATGATTTCGTTTCACATGTGTTATTAGAAATGTTATAATTTCCTATTTTTAAGGGCACTCATTCGTCAAATAATTTTTAATTAAAAATGATAAAATAGCGCCGCCGCAAATACCTATATCTGTACTACTCAATATAAGTAGGTTCAACGAATTTGATAGAAAATTCGAATCACATTATCCTCGTTTAAAAGTTATTTGACGATTGTAAAATTTAGCTGTGAGGCAAATATTCAAGTATTAGCTAACACATGTAACCATTTAAAATGCATATTTAACCGCGTTAACATGTAAACTGTTTGAATCAATATTATATCTGTAGTCGTAATATTTATTGGAGTAACTATAACTCGACCCATATTGTGTAATGTAAACTAAATACCTAGTTGTATTTAACAAACGTTTTACAAGCGTAACCATCCGAACGGACGAAAAGCATCTCATTCTAATAGGTATCATCTTTTGATAATAAAGTCTGTATGACTTTGGTTTTATAATAACTTCTTCCGTGACAGTGAGACATACTAAATTAACTAAAAATCGCGGGTTATGAACTCAGGATTTTTATTAAATTCTGTGGGACTGTTTGTGGGACAAATCCACTATCCACCAGCTACAATTATGGGTCGAAGTATAGCAATTATTGATTAAATAGTTAATATTCATTAAGGAAATGTATACCTACATTTTATCAACTAAGTTATACTTACTAATATGTCATGAAGGGTTATCAAAGAGTAGAAAACCTCTCCCTATGTAAGTTATCAAGGAAAATACCTATCTAACACAAAGCTTGACTGCGTAAGAACTTATAGAAAAGAAAATTTATTGCTTCTTCATATACTAGGTGTTATAGAATAAACGTAAATACTTGCAGGTGCTGGGCCTGACCATGAAATCGAACCACTTTTGTTTCAGGATTTTAAGAAATCTAAAAAAATAATATTTGATGTTACCATATAGTTGACACTGCTCGAGAGTCAATTTGTATGAAAAACTGAGAGTATGTTTAATGGATTTCGAAAAATAGTAGGTAGCAAAGACATGAGATGCTGGAGTCCGTGGTCAAAATTAGTTTCTACCAGTAAAGTTTTGTGTTAATTCTGTTACCCTGTATAAGTAACAACAGCGCATTTAGCGAGTGTAAGGACTTACATTTGTTATAATGGGTGCCTATACGATTCTAGGGTTTCCTGTACAACCTAAAGTTAAGTGGACATTCAACAGGTACCGTACAGGTACAAAGAAAGCTGTATTACATAATTCACACATCACGTACCTACTCTTTTAAAAATACGTGTCTTTCAAAAAAGACCTAAGTGCAATCAAGGCTTCTAGAGCTATAGAAGATACTGTTACAAGTGTATAACAACTTGAGGTTCATTTACCAGCTTAGGAATCGATCCGTTAACTGATACCTAAATATTGACAAACAATTAGGTAGGTACTTGGATATTTTTACGCATAGGTCCCTATTTAAGTAGGTAATTGGTTTCAGCTTTTGACTGCTAATCTGACGATTTTGGGTCATAATCGGATATTTTATTTTGACCGTAACTAGGTAGGTACTTAAGTACCTATTCACTTGCTGGTACCTATACCTACTGTCATTTATCGACTATCGGTACCTAACCTTCTGAAAACATTACAGCTAGTCATTTCCTACAGTGCTCATATCAAAGAACGGATCGAAAACTAAGACACGTATTAAAGGTATCCTTTCATGAGGTATTAAGTTCTATAAGATAAGGTTCGTCTGTAAAGGGGTAATTTTAATAATCTGCTAATTGCTTGACAGTAAAACCTAGATCGAAATAGGATAAAACCGTGGACGTTTTTGACTTGACAAGACAAGAAAAAGAGTCTCAAAAAACAAACATTTTGTTACACAATGGACTTGTGAAGCGTAATTTTGTCACGCAGTTAGATTGCAGGACTACCTATCTAAATATAGTAGACTAGCGGACCCAACAGACGTTGTCCTGCATATCCACTTGAATGTATACACAAAAAATCATTCAAAATATTTCAGCTGTTTAGGATTTAAATAACCTAAACACGACTCCAGCGCCATCTGCCGGGCTGATTTGTGAATCTAAACCATTTCCAGATCCCCTTGAAAACACACAAAAAATTTCATCAAAATCGGTCCAGTCGTTTGAGAGAAGTTCAGTGACATACACACTCACAGAAGAATTATATACCTATATAAAGATCTACGGTACATAAATCGGACAAACATTGAGAACTAACAATTTAGAAGCGTTAAGTAGGTATTTGATCGCAATTCGTGGTACGTCGTCTATAATTATATAATCAATTTGGTGGAACGTAGGTACCTGTCTGTACCTACCTGTTTCTGTACCGAAACCAATGAACTTTATAAGTCAACATCAGCTTACTCATTTGTTTAGTGATATAATGAGCTATCCTATTTGTTTGTCATCTGTCGCACGTCGCACCATACGTCGCTGTTGGTGCAGGCAATTTCCTGTGCCTATGGCGGTTACGAACAGTGGCGTCCGCGTAACTATACCGTTCGGAGCCCGTGGCATATTCATACTCATCTGATGGGCCTCCGTTCCCAATACAAACAGAGAAGTTCTGATGAAAACCTCTGAACGGTGGCCCCTTCCAGCCCTAAACGGGGGCCACCATGATGTTACGCCACTGGTTACGGACGATAGGAAAGTTTCTGAAAATTGACATGTCGTATAATAAAGGCTGTGGTAGTTTTAAACCTACAGTTAGCACCCTTCTATGTTCCTGGGTCGAATATAGATGTCCAACACCTAACGCAGTACCTAGGTACCCAATATAACTAGTACCCAACTTAAATAACCACCGATTCATGAATTAAGGTTCATTATCGCATGATTCAAATGAGTTAGCGAGATGTTACTTTAATCAAGTGATAGCAGGTTAATAAAAATACCTCTAAAAGTAGTGAGTAGACGTAGATGTTCAATTAAACATTTAAAAGCATTTACCATTATTGAATTAGTCATTAATTAATAGATATTACATAAGAAAGAATGACTGGAAAAGATAAAGGTGTCTAGAAAATTTGATGAGTAAGATCTTGTCTGTGAATAATGTGAGTACCTAGGTATGATAATGGATTATTGTAATTTGTCTATAGGTGATGGTGTTGCACAAATGGTGCTATCTCTTTTCGGCAGAATGGTTTTAATGTTAGGATAAATACTCGCATCATGTGATACAGACAACTGATAAGGAATTCAAAATGTCTAATGTCAAAACTAGCACCTTTATAATGGTACGAATTATTTAGACCTAAGAATTTGGCACTCCTGCCCGAGAAGCTTACTCTTGAAACTAAATCCAACTAAATCTTAATAAAATTATTCAATGTCCACATAATGACAACTCTAATGTTGTAACAATAATGACTACAATACGGATTTTAGACATTATTCAATGTCCACATAATGACAACTCTAATGTTGTAACAATAATGACTACAATACGGATTTTAGACAAACTTAATACCATTTAGTTGATTCAATATCCACCCAATACGGATGCAATGGGGCGCTAGTGTTGCAACTCAAGAGAATGAAACTACTAATGTTGTTAGACTGGAATTAGATTCATGAGTAAGCCCCCAGGAGTTTACAGGGGTCAGGGTAATGCAGGCTTAAAATTATATTCCACATTTTGAATCTGTTACAATGTAGTGTCAATATAACTGGGTGTTTAATAAAACGTGAAAAATGTAAGTGTTGTTTTATTTGAAATCCTTAGGTAACCAACTACCTGTTTTAATCTGTGGTACTGAAATTAATTATAGTTTTATGGTATGAATGAAACATTAAACTACACATGTATTTTTACTACTAAGTGAAGCACATTCTAGTTATAATTATTACTACATTACATATACATAGTACAGAAATTACAATATGAAAAGAAAAGGATATTTTATTCAATAAAAATAAAAGAACAATCTAAACCAAAATACATTTTGTACATATCAGAAAATCACTGTTTAGTTTATAGCTACAACAAAATATCTACAAAATAATTAGCTACAAGACAGATTATTATATTCCTATGTATTTGGTGTGTCTACCGGTAGCCAGTAACTGATCCTTGTCTTTATTCCTCACTAGGACTTCTAGGAAAGCAATTTTCTTTCCAACCTTTTTTGTGATAGCTTCAACTTCAACATTATCTCCAACTCTGGCTGCACTCATGTAGCTGAAAAAAAGAAAAGAGTATTTCTTTAAAAATGGAACTAAACCACAGATTAGTATTTTTGTTTTTATTTATTATCTTTGTACCTCACACTTAGTTCTATTGAAACTCCTCTTGTGTCAACTTTTTCATTAGTTGTTAGTGCATATGTTGATATGGCATCTACTAAATGAGCTATGAATCCACCGTGTAGTGTTCCACGCTGGTTCAGATGTTCAGGACCCACTTGAAATTCAGTTGTCATCCGTCCATTGTCACAGCATACTACTTTCAACTGTAAAATTTAATAATTAAATATTCAATAAGTTTTGTAAGTATTACAGTTCTAAAAATGAACAGATAACAGATTTTATTATTCTTAACTCCTTCAGTAAGTTTGATATTTCATAATACTCATATAATTAAGTAGGTACATAATGAGTTTCTGTTGCTAACTAGCTAAGAAAAACAGACAGCTACTTGTTTAAATAACTAGGATTCAACATTCTTAGAAATAGAGGAACATGAAGCCCAAACAAAATAATAAGAGAGATTACGTCACCTCTTAGTTGAAACTACGGCTGAAACCGTAAAAAATATCAAAGTCAAATAAATCTTAGTATCTAAAACCAGAATGCCGAAATTATTTATATAATTTACTCATATCTAATAATAAAATACACTTTGTAACCTGCTAAAAGATTTTTGTATAAGCTCTACCTTTCGAAGATTTTGATCGAATCCTTTAGTGGTTGCAATTGCCTTCGTAAATAACTCGGCTATAGCTGCTCCTTTAGTACACATCGTGCTAATTATTTGTGAGCCTTCATTTATGAACAATTCGTTTTATTTACATTCTCTCCAGTGTTTGCAGTTTGATAACTATTTTGATAACAGCTGTTCCTGTTCTTGACTTTGACACTTTTCTAACTGGCATGTTGCAAGCTGTAAATAAAATAAAATCATGATAAAAAACCAGTTTTATTTTGGTATGGCAATAAAATGTCTTTGCTCGCTTTTGCTCATACCTATCAATCCACACGTTACTTTTGGTTTATCCAACAACTATATTAGGGTTACATTCTGTTGAATTAAGTTAGGAAGTGATGACAACGTAAGTACCTAAAGGATGCTGCTACAGTACTACCAGATTACGACATGACATGAGACAATAACTACGAGACAGAAACAAAAACTACGGAAAGTACTACTTTCTGTTGTTTTTCTTTGCTAAGTAAGTATTAACAGTAAAATAAATAAAAGGATTGTTTCTTTAGAATATTAGATAACCCAAAGTTAAGTATCCAGGTTATTATTATTGGGCTGCTATAAGGTAAAAAGCTTTTCCTAGATTTATTACAAAGCGCCTGATAAAATCTAGCGGTTGTCTTGCAACTATGAGGTGCACGAATCAGACAGTCTTGTAGGCGCACCAATGAATTCGGTATTTAATTTATGTAGGTAGATCAGACACATTCTTAAAACTATAAAAAATCATTATTTTTGTAGGATTCCTCAATTACTATGACCTTTTCAAGAATAGGTGTACATGTAGTTAGAAATATTTAAAGCCAAAAATACACATAGCTACAACAAAACACATGCTAGTATGTACTTAATAACGACATAGTTAAACGCACGTTAGACGCACTAAACAGTAATCAGTGATAATTACTGTGGGTAGATAATTATTACTATCAAATTGGATACCGAGCAGAGCTGGTAATTAAGTGTAAAACCATAATAATAATAAAAAAAAGTACTTACTCGTAATGATAACAATTATGTAGGTAGGCAATCATACGGAACGAATTGTGGGTGTTAGGGAAATATAAAAATCTTTTTAGGGAAAAAGACTAACGAGTGTAGGTTTTCACCTCTCTGTAACCTCCCCAGTGGTCACTAACATCACCTGTATTGGGGGCGCTCCATGTCCTCTCATAGACGTACTCCGGAGCTCACACAATGCAACGCCTGTTCTACAGCACCTCACACCTACAGGACCTAGAGCCTATTAGAGCCTATTAGATACTCCTTTGGGAAAGGGAAGGCGAAGTTTTTTCATCAAGAAAACAACAGCATGTGTATCGCCTGAATACTGAAAGGCTACTCAATTTTAACTCGTTGAGTACCGTCATTATAGACACAATTAAAGAACAATAGGTTGCGGTCACCGGTGTCCTCGCGGTGTTTGACAGTTTAAGTCGTACTTAATTGTACCATCTCTTTTTTTGTCATTTCACAAAGAAATACTGGTGACAAAACTATACTTGTGACTTAAGCGCTTAATTGAGTGGCTTTTGAGTATTTGGGCATAGGACTCGCTACAAATTAAGATTCTCTGCCTGTGTCGTAGTCTCGTAGTCGTAGGTGAGTTATGTGTATATAAACTTGTATGTTTGTAAACGCACACACGACAAAGGAGAAAATCCTAGTGTGAGGCACGTTTTTTTAAAAGAAATCATCTAATAACGATACCAGGAACAATACAAAAGGAGATACGAGAACTGCGCTGCCTATCCACGTCAAAAATTTCGTTCCAATCAGACAAACTTGGCTGCAGGTTTAGTTCATTTGGTTGATAATCACCTGTTGTTTAAATCCCATGCGGTGCAATACAATTATTTGTATGATCAACATAGTGTTCGTTCGGTTCTGTACTTCTGTGTGTGATATGACATAATTGCTTTGGATATTACAATAAGTACTACTAGTAGGTGCAACTGGTACATTACCGCTAAATAATAAGCTTAGGCACTCGTAGGCACCGCAGACGAAAAAAGACTAACAATCGGCTATTTTCTCACCCAAGAAAGGTATAATAGATACAAATTTCGTGTAAATAAAAGAGATTATGTATATGCAAATACATGATCGCTGACTGTTCACACTGCCGGCGAGCACTCGCAAGAGCATGTAGGTACCTATCAGAAGCCTTAGTACGAGTTTCTTTTACGTTTAAAGTAATCGTACTCGTACGCGTTCGCTGTGATTGGTTGCTTCATTGGCGCCGGCCAATCAGAGTGCCGAACGCATACTCGTTTCGAAAACTTTAAACGTAAATCAAACTCGTACTAAGGCCTCGGAACTATACGCACTCACTACCCGCGGGTCGTCAACTCGTTTCCAATTGTATCTCTACTCGTTACTCGTTCATCGTTACCGGTGAGACAACTAGGTTCCTACTCCGTAACTGGCCCTGGCGAGCACATTCATTTTTTGTTGTCAGTTTAATCCTTTCAAAGTTTGGTTTCTATTCATTCAGATTTACGGTAATTAAGCTCCCGCGAGCCTCCTGCATGTTAAGAAAGAAATTATACTAGTTAATACTTAGACAGGTACGGACTGCGTATTCAAGACCTCAGGCTACTCGGGGCGTATTTCCTCTAGACGGATTTATTCACGATGTAGGAGCCTTATTCAAGAAGGTAATCTTAGCATCATATGCATTGAAAACCCCACAGTGAACATATTCCAAGTTTTAAGTACCTACACATTACAAAAATCATCTCATCATTCGCATCAGTTTGTAAATTGCAATGGTTTTGACAAAGTAACATGCAAGGAGACTAAGGCATTGATGATATTCAGGAATTCTTCTTCATATCCTTCTGGAAATAAATGAGTATATAAAATAATAGTCGTGGTGACCCGGAGGTTTAAGACACCCGCTTCTCATGCATGAGGGTGCGGGTTCAAAACTTACCAACGGCATGTACCAATGTGACTTTTTCCGAGTTATATGATTATCTAGACACCACTGACAAACGGTGAAGAAAAAACATCGTGAGGAAACCTGGTCTTATAATTTTGAATTATAAGTTTGAAATCGCTAACCCGCAATGAGCAAGCGTGGTGATTAATGCTCAAACCTTCTCCGTGTGAGAAGAGGCTTTGCTCAGCAGTGGGCACTTATAGGCTGTTGATGATGATGATGATAAAATAATATTTTAAAAACAGTGATTATTTTAACTCTTTCAGTCTTGGTGGTCACTGTAACTAACCACCTTTTCTTAGAAATTCAATTTTTGAAGTAGGTATGATTCAAATTACTTTGCATTGGTTTTTAAGCATTTCAGTATAATTGAATAAAATATATTCGTAACCAGTTAAAAGTGTGACTGAAAGAGTTAAGAGTTTCTTTTTAACTTCGTAAAAATAAAACTTAGTAGGTACTTAACTAATTACTCATAATGTACTTGTCCTGTCAAAGGACACTCGTTTAGCTTTACATACAGTTCAGCCGTATATTCATGTTTAACTGGCAAACATCTGAACAAACTTTTACATTAAATTAGTAACACCATACGCAAAATTTTACACATCGGAAAACTTTAAAGAGTTATTTACAGTTCCCTTTGACCAAATTTTATTTAGATTTTTTTCACATTCGCTAACTTGCGTCTGTTAACTGTATAACTTTAGATGAGTTCCATAACTTTTTTATCATTCGAATGCGATGTCTGTAAATTACATGCAATGCAGATAACTTTATTTGCTTTTACAACTCCATATTTATTTTGTGACAAGACTCACCACGTAACTGTATTTGCTTCGTGAGGCGTAGGTACCTACTGCAGCGATAAAGACGGAGGTTTAGAAAATATCAAAAATGTGTTCGAATTTTTATAAATCTTTCTGCATCGTTGAAGTCACCGGATCTTCCACGGTTGTGGTACCTATCTTTGAAATATATTTTCACCCGGGGATTTGGAATCCTTTTGAGGATGGGACAAGGCGTAGCTATGGTCTGCAGTCTGTAGTTAAGACCGTTGTCTTTCTTCTAAGCCGTTCTTTATACAAGTCAAAGAACTTTTCTCAAAACAACTTGGATTTATTCTTATTTGAACATTGTTAGTGAGCTTAGACTATTATGTATATTCTATGTCAGAATATGAGATATTGTCGGTATGTACATGGTTTCGTGTAAAGCCCCATATAATGATGGGCGAACCGAGCCACACACTGGTTTCAAAGAAATTCTGGTAATAGGGATTATTATTAGAATTTCTTTGGGGGCGAAACCAAACTAGCGACTCATTTTACATGACAACAGCGACCATAAAGCAACTTGGTAACGTACAAAACTCAAGTATACGTTAAAATAAATTTTAATAAACAATAGTAACGACAAAAGCGCGCTCGACACCGTGACACCATGTCACAAGCAAACAGATTTAATTACTGAACTAACCAGTTACAGAGTTGACCGGCATGACAAAATGTTAGGTGACAATTTTTGCCCTCGAGGCGTTGATAGCAGGCTAAAAATAGAACTAATGAAGTTTATTTCCTCTCGTATATTCCAATATTTTGTAAACGATTTTAACGAGTCATCAAAAAATTGAAAGCTTCCTTTTTCGCACTCGCTTTTTGCTCTTCGAGGTGTGAAGTAGGGTACCTGGGAAACATTTCGTCGAGTTGAGAAACTCCTCTTTTTGCTTTTGAAGTCGGTTAATAGAACATTGTGAGTTTTGATCAGATTCAACGTTTGTTTTAGGTAATTGTTTTGATATACCTTACTGCGTGTAAATGAAAATGAACTCACCTGCCATATAAAACTCAGAAAAAATATTTTGTGGACACCCTTAGGCACCTACTCTTTCCGTGGGTGTCGAAGGAGCCGATAATGAGACATCACAATTGACAGGCAGGCATTTTGTTAAATCAAAAAGCGCTCCTCAACCGACAGCAAATTTTTTCCCATTCGAAAACCAAACTGCTAGGCTATTCTTTAACTGTCATTTCAAAATGTCTAAGTGAGCACGATCGCATTCTCACCCGTCATTGGTCGAGATTATTCTAATAACCAATGATATGGCAGACGGCAATCGAGTTCACTTTGGTCTTTCAAATTAATTTAAAGAATAGCCTAGTTGCTCCCATTTGTCACTCTCCATCATACTCCAACAGTAAACTGTACGG